GGTGTCAACGATAGCCATGTGATGTGAGTATCAGTCACATGGAGGCAGGGCATAAAAGCCTGAATTTTGCCTGAAACTCTCAGACTGAAGAAGTCTCTTGGAGRAGAGACAAAACGTTTCATTAGGGAAGAACCTGTCCAGAAGACCTACACAATTTTTTTCTTTTTAATACCTGGATAAAATGTTGAAGGTAAGGATGGATTCTATTAATGATTTATAAAGCAGAGTTAAGATATTCATCCTAACATTAAGGAATGTCATTTTTCTCAGCAGCTGGAGATGATGTTGGCTACACATGATTATTCCTGAACACGTTTCCATTGAGGCATTCCAGATGGTTCGGGTCAACAAAGACTGCACCAACAGCAGTGAGTGTAAAGAAGGAGAGCTTGGTGGTTTTGTAAACAACAGATGGAGCAACCCTGGTCACATTACAATCAAGAACTGTATTTGTTGCCCAGTCAGTGAACTGTTGGCTGTTGGACTCCGTCCATTTTATTTGCCAAGGGAAATCTCACATATTGTGGTGACTGTGTATGTTCCTCCTTCTACCATGATGGCAAGTGATGTCATCCACAGAGCCGTAGCACGACTTCAAACGGAACATCTGAGTGCCCTCATCATATTTTCTGGGGACTTCAATCAGGTTTACATGGACAAAATTTACTCCTAGGGGAAATAATCCTGGACCTGCTGTATGCATTAGGGATGCATGCGTGACAAAGACAAAGGATCTGAGAAGGGTCAGGACACTGGTGACCCCTGTTTCCATCCATGGGGTCACTGTGGACATTGTGGATGCTTTTAAATACCTAGGAATGTTTTTACCTTAAACCAGACTGGACTAAGAACACTGATGCCTTCTACAAGAAGGGCCAGAGCTGCCTCTGTTTTTTGAGGAGTTTAAGGTCATTGAACATCTGCTGGACTACGCTGCAGATGTTTTATAAGACTGTGGTGGCCAGTACCCTCCTATTTTGCGGGTGTGTTTTGGGGTAACAGGTTAGCAGAATTATCCTCAAGGCCAGTGATGTGAGGGTGGAGATGGACTTGCACCATGCATCGCTGGACCTTTTACTGTATTTTACATTGTGTGAATTCCTCTTTGTTATCTGGCTGTGTTCCAGCAGCTTTTAAACATGCTGTAGTGCAGCCAATCATCAAAAAGAAAAACCTGGACCCCATTGTTCTTTCTAACTATAGACCAATATCTAAATTACCTTTCATGTCTAAGATTTTAGAAAGGGCTGTTTTTATTCAACTTCAGTCCTTTTTAGATTCTCATGGTGTTAGTGAAGAGTTTCAATCTGGTTTTAAATCTCATCATAGTACTGAGATGGCACTTAAGTGTTTTTAACGATCTTCTTTTAACTGTTGATTCAGGTAGCCCTGTTATTTTAGTTCTTTTAGATTTAACTGCTGCCTTTGATAAAGTTGATCACAGCATCCTTCTGTCCAGACTTGAACATGTTGGTCTTGAAGGCTCAGTTCTAACATGGTTCAAGTCATTTTTGCCTGACAGGTCTTTTTCCATTTGAATGGGGGGATACTCGTCTTAATCTACTACTATTTGCTGTGGTGTACCACATGGTTCTATTTTAGGACCTATTCTTTTTTTGTTTGTACATGCTGCCATTGGGATCAATTTTTTAAAAGCACAAAATATCTTTCCATTTTTATGCTGATGACAGTCAAATGTATTATCATTTTGATTCAAATGTCTTTGCCCCTCTGCAGCCCCTTTAAATTGTCTCAGGACATCAAAGACTGGTTATCCCAGAATTGTCTGACTTTGAATGAAGACAAAGCTGAAGTTATTTTATTTGGCTATTATCCTCCTCTTGATGGTTTACCTGGTTTTCTTGGCCCACTTGCTCCCTTTTGCTCATCTGTGGTCAAGGATCTTGGAGTGTTTTTAGACAGCGCTTTTAAAACCAGTTTTTATCATCTCCGTCTATTGCCAAAGCAACATCTTACATTCCCCACAAAGACCTTGAAACACTTATCCATGCTTTTATTACATCTATACTGAACTATTGCAACTCTTTATATGTTGGTTTGGAACAATCATCTGTTCGTCGCTTGCAGTTAGTCCAGAACGCTGCTGCATGTCTTTTAACAGGTTCTAGAAGGAAGGAGAACATCACCCCTGTTTTATCTGACTTGCACTGGCTGCCTGTTCAGTTCCATATTGATTTTAAGATTATTTTACTTACGTTTAAAGTTTTAAATGGTCTGGCACCCAGTTATTTATTGGCCCTGTTGTAATTTTATACCCTAAACAGAGAACTTAGATCCTCTAATCAGATGCTTTTAGTGCAGCCAAAGGCAAAACTAAAGCGTAGAGGGGAATGGGCTTTTGCTGTGGCGGCCCCCAGACTCTGGAACAACTTGCCTCTTAAGATCCGTATACCGCAGTCTGTTCAGTCTTTTAAGTCTGACTTAAAAACTCACTTTTTTCCACCGGCTTTTAGCTCAAGTTCAGTTTGTGCTACCTCAGGAATTTTTATTTGTGTCTTTTTATTTTGTTTTCAGCTTTGTATTAGTTTTTTGTATTGCGTCTGTGAAACACTTTGGTCAACACCGTTGTTTTTAAATGTACTACATAAATAAAGAGATGATGATGATCATGCACCACAAGAAGTCATTTATGCCTGTTGCCATCCAACTAGACAACTTCTCCCTCCCAACTGTATTTATGTACTTTGATATTCTTTGTATGCTCACATTTTATTCTCGTTCATGAATTTACAAAGTCACTTTCCTCCTGGGATTAATAAATTATTCTAAATCAGATAATGGAGCCACAGTGTTCTGTGAGCTGCTCAAGAACCAGTAACAACATGAATCAAACTGATTTTCAGTGCGGTCGACATGTTTCTGTCGGCATCCCATAACAGCATGCTGCAGGGGGAGTGACTTCAACATTGTGGTTTCTCTTGGAGTATAATATATCCTTGTGGAAAAAGAACATGTCTCTGCTACATCAGAGCAGATTTCCTAACTTCCAGTGGAGCAGAAATCCAGCCTGACTACTTTGTTTTTCTCAGAGTTCCAACCACTGAGTGTATTGAAGAACTAAAGCATCAAATACATGAAAAAAACTGTAATAAATTATTTGTTTTCTGTGTCCTGAAGGGTTCAGACAATTTTACTAATATTGTTTCATTTTTAACTCAACACATTGCCCATTTCTTCATTTAATACCATGACATTACCTGTTAAATTTAACCCCGTTTTTCTGTTAGCAAAATATCACATGAACCACTGGATCAATGAAACTCAAAAAGTAATTACCGGCTGCCCATTTACAACTGATTGAAGCTGAAATTGTTTGAAGTCATCCAAATTCAAGATGGCTGCCTGTCATACTTTATCAACCATAGGCTAAATAAAAATTGATAGATATTTAACAGATATTGAACTAAATTTTGATGTGGTAGTACCAGAGCGTGATTATACAGTATAAGATATTGGTGTATCCATGAGGTTTTTCATTGTTAATTTCAGATTGATGATCTTAGTTTCCAAATTTGGCATAAAATGGTAATGGACATTTTTTAAAGATTTGCTTGGTCTTCATTTTGTGAGGTTGTGTGCTTTTGTTGTCTTGTATCATGACTCCCTCGTGTGTTCTCTAAGTGTTATTACTACTCATTCTTCCTCAGTCTGTTTCAAATGTCACTTCTCTTTGTAATTATGCTCACCTGTCACTCGTTGTATTCAGTATTTTCCCTCAGCTGTTGTTCATCTTCTAATTCCCTCTGTGTGTTTAAATACTGATCATGTCCTCCATATCCTCGCTGGTTCGTTGTTGGTTTTACCACTCTTTGATGTTCCTCGTCGTCCTTAGAGTTTTAGTTCTTTTTGCTGCCCTGTCAGCTTTTTGTTTTTGTTTAAGAAATACTTTTTATTTAAACTTCATCCTCCACCTGGATTTGAGTTTGTCCCTCTCTGCTTCTTAACAGAATGAACCAGTCAGATTATGAACTCACCGGGAGGATGAGTTATTTTGATTTTTTGAGAGGTGGGAATTATTTTTCGGCGTTTGAGGATGGGAGAAAGAACCCTGCCAGGAGACGTGGACGAAGGGGCCGTGACTGGGAAGTGGAGGTTCTCCTGTTGCCTCTTCTAGTAGAGGAGGAGGAGCAGAGGAACATGCAGTTCTGGGGACTCACCTGGCACTGAAGCCCACTCCACCATTTGGTCCTTCTCAGCATCACTGTCGATGACGGAAAAAAGCGGCGGCTCCTCCCATGCCATCTGGGTATTTCCACTCTGAGCCCTGTAACAGTGAGCCAAAGTATGACCCAGAGTATGACCCAGATTATGATCCGGAGAGTGACCCGTTCTGTCCTGAGTATGTCGGGTACTGCTCAGCCAGGCCAATGGTTTTCGCCTCTCCAGTGCTGCCTCCGTCTCTCCCGCCAGCGTTTTGTCTGAGACAGTCCCAGACGCCTCCTGCAGTGTCACCCCCGAGAGGGTCCTGGACGCCGCCTCCTCCAGTGCCACCACTGATGGGGTCCCGAATGCCTCTCCCTCCAGTGCCTCCTCCAAGATGGTCCCTGAGACCCAGCGCTGTCTGCATACTGGCAAAAATCAATGCTTCAGCCTCCTGCACTCTTCATGTCTCTGAGAGGATTGATGCCTCCACTACTGCCAGCGGTCCAGCGAGGACAGATGCTTACGCTCCCAGTGCCTCCGAGAGGATCGATGCTTCCACTTCTATCTGTGCTCCCCGGAGGATCGATGCCTCCATAGCCTCCTACGCTTCGGCAAGAGTCGACACCTCCACAACCTCCTACGCCCCGGTGAAAGTCGATGCTGCTACCTCTTGTGTGGAGGGTCTTAGGGGGGCGAAAGTGGTGGTCACCACCCTGGATTCTGTGGTCGTGTTCCTGACTGCAGCTCTGGTGGAGGTGTTGTTCACGACTGCTGCAGCTACAGGGCCTTCAGAGTCTGAGTCAGCTTCAGAGTCTTCAGAGCCAGAACCAACACCTGTGCCTACAAGGCCTCCGGGTCAGATTGTGAAGTCCCCAGGCCAGCCTGAGCCCCCGGGTCAGATTGTGAAGTCCCCGGGTCCACCTGAGGCTCCCAAGGTCTCCATGCTAGTCTCTGCCCCTGAGATCTCCAAGTCAGCTGGTTCGGAGCTGTCATCTGCTGCAGCCCCACCTGAACTCTCCACGTCTGCTGCTGCTGCTGTACCTCCAGAGTCAGCATCAGAGCCAGCATCTGTGTCAGCACCAGAACTCTCTGAGCCCTAGCCCGCACCAAAGCCTTCAGAGTCTCCTCAGCCGGCCCCTGCAGAGTCTCCTCAGCCGGCACCTCCAGAGTATTCTAATATTCAATTAATCAGTTACAAAATTTCCTTCACACCTAAAAAATGTCTAATTCAGTTTTTTAAGATGTTATTTTGGAGCTTCAAACCAAACCATGGCACCAGGAAATGTGTCCTTTCAACAACACTGAGTTTAGTATTGTGATCTATTTTGTGTAAAATATTCATAAAATATTTATTTATACGGGCTTAAAGGGCCAATATTATGTGTTTCTCAGGCATATAGTTCAATTCTACAATTAATAAAGCAACTATCTCACCTTCAGTTGTTATTAAAAGTTTGTTTACATGTTTAAATAAAACTAAATTTGACTGTGCATCATAGCTGTTTCTATACACCTTGAAATTGGCCTCTGTCTTTTTAAGAACCTCCTACAGCTTCTGTCACACCCATTTCTGCACATCATCCCAACAGCTTCAGGCCGTTTACAACATTATTCAAACATTATTTAACCTTTAAGACCGCCCGTCCTTTTTCTTCCTGCTTATCTGGGGTCAGGTCATGGGGGCAGCAGCCTAGCCCCGAATTTATGCTACAGGCGACTCCGCTCCACTGCGCTGTGGTGTTCAGGTCGCAACTGTTCGTTTGTACCCCAATTTATACAGCCTCCGCCTCATTAATTAGAATGGTTGCATATTTGCTGCAGAGGTCGGACAGAGCGGAGACATATGTAGTGTAAATTGGGGGTAAGCAAAGAGACACAGACTACTCTCTCCCCAGCCACTTGGGCCAGCTCCTCTGGGGGAATCCCAAGGCATTTCCAGACCAGTCGAGAAACATAGTCTATCCAGCATGTCCTGGGTCTTCCTCTGGGTTTCCTCCCAGTGGAACCTACGCAGAACACCTCACCAGGGAGGCGTCCAGGAGGCATCCTAACCAGATGCCTGAGCCACCTCAACTGGCTCCTTTCAATGTGGAGGAATAGTGGCTCTACTTCGTGGCCCTCCCAGATGACTGAGCTTCTCACCCTATCTCTAATGGAGAGCCCAGACACCCTATAGAGGAAACTCATTTCAGCCACTTGTGTCAGCGATCTTGTTCTTTCAGTCACTGCCCAAAGCTTGTGACCATAGATGAGGGTAGGAGTGTAGACGACCAGTAAATCGAGAGCTTCACCTTATGGCTCAGCTCTTGCTTTACCACAAAATATTGGCACCCACATCACTGCAGACGCAGCACCAGTCCGCCTATCAGTCTCCCACTCCATTCTTCCTTCATTTGTGATACTTGAAACCCCTCCACTTGGGGGAGGACCTCTTCCCCCATCGGGAGAAGGCACTCTAACCTTTTCAATTTAATTCAATTCAATTCAATTAAGTCTATTTATATAGTGCCAAATCGCAACAACTGTTGTCTCAGGGCACTGTACACCAAAAACAAAACAACAAAAAAACAACAATAAATTTAAAGAAGCCAGCAGATTGCACAGAATCTACAGTCTCCCATCAAAGTTCTTCCGGGGCTTTGAGTTGAAGTTCAGTCTGACTGGAGACTCTTCCAGACATTCCCAGCAGACCTTCACTATGTATGTTTGGGTCTGCCAGGTCTGACCGGCATCTTCCCCCACCATTGGAGCCAACTCACTAACAGGTAGAGGTCAATTGACAGCTCCGCCCCTTTCTTCACCCCAGTGTCCAAGACATGCGGTCACAGACCACATGGTGTTTGTTATGGACAGTCCATGACAAGCACAGAAGTCCAAGAAACGAAACACCACTCGATTTCAGATTGGGGGACGACATTCCTCCCACCCACACCCCTCCAGGGCTCACTGTCATTGTACATGTGAGTGAAGTCCCCCAGCAGATCAAGGAAGTCCTCATCAGGAGTGCTCCCCAGCACCCCATCCAAGGACTCCAAGAAGAGTGAGCAATCTGAACTGCTGTTAGGAACATAGGCACAAACAACAGTCAGAACCCATCCCCCCACACATAGGTAGGTGAAGAGAGGCTACCCTCTCGTTCACCGGGGTGAACCCCAACATATAGGCACCAAGATGGGGGGCAATAAGTATGCCCACTCCTGCTCAGCACCTTTCAGCAAGGGCAACTCCAGAGTGAAAGATTGTCCAACCCCTCTCGAGGAGACTGGTTCCAGAGCCAGAGTGGTGTGTCAAGGTGAGTCCAACTATATCTAGTTGAAACCTCTCAACCTCACGCACCAGATCCAGCTCCTTCCCAACCAGAGAGGTGAAATTCCATGTCCCTAGAGCCAACTTCTGTAGCTAAGGATTAGACCACCAGTGTCCTAACCATTGAACACTGATCATTGTACAATGCACCTGACCCCTCCGACCCCTCCCATGGGTGGTGACCCCATGAGAAAGGGGACCCATGTCTCCTCTTTGGGCTGTGCCCAGCCAGGCTCCATGGGGAAAGCCCCGCCACCAGGCACTGGCAAACATGCCCCACCTCCAGGCCTGGCTTCAGAGTGGGGCCTCAGTGAACTGTGTCAGGGCGAGGGAATAGTAAGTCTATTGTTGTGACTCATCATGAATCACAACACATTTCAGCTTGGTAAGATCAAGACCCAGTCATCCTCTTAGACACACTGGTCAATGTTAAGCTAATTTAGTTATTACTAAAATGTGGATCACACAGAGACCATACAACTGAACTAAACAATGTGAGTCGTTTTTCAGCTGGGCAGAAGACAACAGTGTTTGTGTCCTTCTGAGTGTTGGAATTGCATCGTCTTTTAGTGATGATCTTGTTATTAGTCCACTGTTACATTCCCTTTTGTTCAGAAATCTATCATCAGTAAAGTGGCTCACACGCAAAAAAAATTCTTTGGAGGGTTATTGTTACTTCCAAAATTGAAGTCCAACCACTTTTTAAGAACGTGTCATTCTTTTCATCCAAAAATACATTTCCTCAAAGGCATTTTTTAATCCAAAAAGGACTGGACTGAGAAGTATTACAAGCTCAGCAGACAGTTGGTTTCACCAGTTGTTTGCTAGTTGTTGCTGCTGATTGCTGACAAGGATATTAAGTTGTTCAACCCAATTAGCAGAGCTGAGAAACCAGACCAGGAGACAACAGATCAAAGGTAAATGAATATTTATTTACAGGTGAAGATCAAGTGAGCATTATTTACTGGTGAAGATCATGGACATCTTGCTGTGAAGAGGAGGGAAGACGAGATGGTAAGTATGATTGTAAAGTAATGTTTTCCAGATGTAGATCTTGAATGTAATATTAGTTCTTTTGCTTACAGGATATTTGAAGGCAAGCAGCATAGACCAGAGGAGAGACTTTTCCAGAGAAAGTGATCTTCAGGCAGAGTGGCTTGGTGGCAGGTGAAGTATCCTTTGGACAATGGTAGAAGATTGGTTCCTTATTTACTTCCAGATTCGAGGGTTCCACTTGATGGCTGATAATCCGAGGCACGTGGATAATCCACCTTGGCAAAGAGACAAAAGGTAAGCTTAAAGCTTCTTAGACAAAAGGTTTACTTAGCATAGTTAACTACCATGAAGGTAATATGCATCAGCATTGATCAGTCAGCAGGTAAAGCCTAATACAGCCCCATAGCTCATAAGGGAATCTCTCACAGGTGTGGATGATCAGAGCAGGAACCAATCAGGAAACAGGAAAGCAGAAAACTGCCAAATCATCACAGTACCCTCCTCCTAGGAATCGTCTCCAGATGATTCACACTGCTTCTCCGGATGGTCTCTGTAGAAATCCGAGATAAGGGTGGGATCTAATATGAAGGAACAAGGAATCCAAGATCGTTCCTCTGGTCCATAGCCTTCCCAGTCAACCAGATACTGGAATCCTCGTCCTCTTCGTCAAACGTCCAAGATACGGTTAACAGGTTAGGCTGGTTGGTCATCAATAATCCGGGCGGGAAGGGGGAGTTTGGCAGGTGGGCAGAGCGGACTCCCGGTAACTGGCTTAACCTGGGAAACATGGAATGTGGGATGAATGTGCATAGATATTGGTAGGATGAGACGTACCACAGATGGATGTACAAGGCATTCAATAGGAAAAGGACCAATGAATCGTGGTGCCAACTTCCTGTTGGTGTCTTTCAATTTGATGTCCTTGGCTGAGAACCAGACCTTCTGGCCAACTTGGTAGTTCGGCGCCTCTGAGCGATGTTGGTCTGCTACCTCTTTGTTTTGGTCAGCAGTCCTTAGGAGAGCCTCCTTGGTCTGTCGCCAAATTCTCCTGGACCTGCGAAGAGGATAATATACAGAAGGTACAAAGCATTCAGATTCCACCACAGGGAATAGAGGAGGGTTATACCCAAGGGAGGCCTCAAAGGGAGACAGACCAGTGGAGGAGATCTGTGTATTGTGTGCATACTCAACCCAGCCAAGATGTTGAGACCAGGTGGAGGGGTTTTTGTAACAGATGCACCGTAGGGACACCTCCGATTCGTGATTGCAGCCTTCACTTTGCCCATAGGACTGAGGGTGGTAACCAGAGGACAGGCTCACAGGGGCACTGAGAGCATTACAAAAACTCTTCCATACTTGAGATACAAATTGTGGTCCTCTGTCCAAAACAATATCCAGTGGTATGCCATGAATACAAAAGACATGGGTGACAAGTAGTTTGGCAGTCTCAAAAGCAGTAGGTAATTTGGAAAGAGCAACAAAGTGAGCCATCTTAGAAAAACTATCAACAATAGTAAGAATAGTAGTATTACCTTGAGAGGGAGGTAAACTGGTAACAAAATCCAAGGAAACATGTGACCATGGGCGACTTGGGACTGGCAGAGGCTGCAACAATCCAGCAGGTGCTTTGTTGCCAGACTTACTTTGAGCGTAGATGGAACAGGATGCCACATATTCCTTGATGTCCTTGATTAAGGAGGGCCACCAGAAGTATCTTGAGGCCAGAGTGATCATAAGATTTGAACCTGGGTGACAAGAAAATTGACTATTGTGAAGCCATTCCAATACCTTACCTTTGTCTGCTGAGGGGACGAATAGACAATCTGGAGGACCTCCACCCGGGTCTGGCTCAGTGTTTTGTGCCTCTTGGCCCAGCCGTTGGATTGGCCAGGTGAGGGCGCACACAAAACAGGTGGAGGGCAGGATGTTATCTTGTGGAGTGATCATTAGAAGAGAACTGTTGAGAGAGAGCATCAGGTTTTACATTTCTTGTTCCAAGTCTGTAGGTTATGGTAAAACTGAATCTTGTAAAGAACAATGACCATTGTGCTTGGCGTGGGTTTAATCTTTTAGCTGACTGTAGGCAGGAAAGGTTTTTATGAACAGTCCAAATAATAAACGGTACCTTGGTTCCCTCAAGCCAATGTCGCGACTCCTCCAAAGCAAGTTTAATTGCCAGTAACTCATGATTTCCCACATCGTAATTCCATTCAGAGGGGGTGAGTCATCGGGAGAAGCATGTGCAGGGGTGAGTCTTGTTGTCAGCGAGAGACCATTGAGACAGAATAGCTCCTACCCCAGTATCAGAGGCATCAACCTCTACGATGAACTGTTTAGAGGGGATGGGGTGATGAAGAATAGGAGCTGAAGTAAATCTTTTTCTTTAACTCACCAAAAGCTGTGTCAGCTTGGGGATTCCACTTGAAGGTCATTAAGGTAGAGGTTAACTGGGTGAGAGGTGCTGCCACACGACTGTAGTCCTTAATGAATCGTTGGTAGAAGTTGGCGAAACCAAGAAATCGCTGAAGCTGTTTGTGGTCAGGAGGAGTCGGCCACTCTGCCACTGCTTTCACCTTTAGGGGTTCTGTCTGAAAAAATAATTTTCCAAAAATGAAGCCAAGGAAAGAAACAGATTCAACATGGAATTCACATTTTTCTGTTTTCACGGAGAGTTGGTTTTCTAGGAGACTTTGTAAAACTGCACAGACATGTTTGGTGTGTTGGTCCTGGTCCTTGGAGTAGATGAGAATATCATCAAGGTAAACGAAAACAAATGTGTTCAGAAAGTCTCGTAGAACGTCACTAATGAGGGACTGGAAAACTGCTGGTGCATTAGTAAGCCCAAAGAGCATGACTAAGTATTCAAAATGGCCTAATGGTGTCTTAAAGGCAGTTTTCCACTCATCGCATAGGTCTAATTTTGAAAAAATGGTGGTCGAGTGTAGTTGTTGGTGGACGGAGTCAATAAGTTGTAATAGATACTTATTTTTATTGTTATCTGGTTTAAGCCCCGATAGTCAATGCAGGGTCGCAGGCTTTTATCTTTCTTTTCAACAAAGAAAATCCCGGCCCCTAAGGCTGAGGTGGAGGGGCATATGATGCCGGAGGCAAGAGACTCTTCAATGTAGTTTTTCGTAGAGTTTCTTTCAGGAACAGAGAGATTGTATAATCGACTAGATGGAAGAAGAGGTAATAGCTCAATGGAGCAGCCCTAGGGCCTATGAGGTGGAAGAGATAAAGCCTTGGTCTTACTAAAGACGGGCACTAAATCTACGTATTCATTAGGGGCTTGAGAAAGATCAGTTTTTTTTCTGTGGGAATGACTCTGGTAATAGTTTGAGAAATTACAGAGGTTAAATGGTTTTTTAGACAAAAATCACTCCATTTTTCAATACCTTTGCGAAACCAGTCGAAAACTGGATTGTATACAGTATGTATGTATATATG